ACTGGGTTGTGTTGGTCCTGGTGCTGATCGTGCTGTTGGCCTCGGCACAACTATGGTACCGGGCTGTGCCTTGAACTCTTTGTTTCTAATTCCTGTCTCCAGGGGATTTGGCAAGGCAGCTTGCCTAATGAGACAAAAATAAGCACCCTATTCTTTGATTCGGGCAAGACCTGGAAATGTGCATCCTAAAGGCTCAGGAACCACCCTGGAAGAGGAATGCTGCATAACCAGATTTCTCCATCTCCGAGGTGTATGTACAAAGGAGGCGTCTGCTTTGAATCACAGCATTCAGAAGGATAAAGAGTTTCTCAGTCCTTAGTAGAATCTGAGGTTGCCTGCAGTGGGTTAATATGGTAACTACCAAAAAAAATTCGGTATTTCAAGTGCCAAGACACTTTCAAATATGCTAGAAGGTCCTGCCTGCAGCTCATCTGGGTGCCACAACTAGATGTGCTAAGTACTGGTATTTTTATTCTGTGAGGCTGGGTTTAATGCTTGTAATCTATTTTACCTGAAAAGCTTTCTGCATATGTGCATAGCTAGGCCTATGTGGAAAATCTGAAACAAGCTGAAAACAGATATGTTTGCTTTGTAAAAGGTTAAAGGGGTTGCTGTGGTGGGCTTGAACTAGGTTGCCAACATGAACCACTTAATTAACTGGAAGATGATTTTAGCAGCTGATACAGGCAGAGGATAGACTGATTGCTTGAAGCAGGGGGTGAAAGCTAGCTGAGGTAATTGTTTGCAGCAGCAAAGGCTGCCGAGCCTGTACTGCTCAGCTGCAACATTCCTGAGCTGGAGGTGCAGAGTGCTGGACCTGGGTGTTTGGGCAACAGTAGGTGAACAAAGGGTGAACAAACACCTTGTAACTTCTTCCCTTATTGTAACTTCATTGAGCAGGAGAAGATCGTAATCTTAATGGATTTGGCACAGGTCATTGAAAGCAGCTGCAGTGAGCACTGACTAAAAGATGGAAAGTTTCACCTAGAACTTTTTTCTTGTTTCCTCTGACCCACCCATGAAACCTGCTCTTCTCACAAGAGTTTGAGAGGCTTCTTCCAAAGCCTGAGCACTTTCATCCAGCCTTGAGGGGTTTGTCTGAGTGTTGTGGGATGGCAATTTCATGCTAAAAACTTCAACTTTGCTATCTGGGACCAAATCCTTTCCTGTCACCTAACTCAGTCCACACTTCTGGGATTTACGGCATTTACTTCATTCTCCTAGTGACAGCATCCAGCCTTGAGGGGTTTGTCTGAGTGTTGTGGGATGGCAATTTCATGCTAAAAACTTCAACTTTGCTATCTGGGACCAAATCCTTTCCTGTCACCTAACTCAGTCCACACTTCTGGGATTTACGGCATTTACTTCATTCTCCTAGTGACAGCATTCAAGCAAAGATGAATTGGGTTAAAGCAGGCATTACCAATGTGTAGAGAAAGGCCTTGCTTCAGCTCCTTCAAGTATTCCCTGGGGACTTGGTCTCTGTGCCCAGGCCCTGAGAGCAAGGTTCAGGTTGGGGCCAGCCCCTCCCCACCCCCCCCTGCCACTGGGTTGTGTTGGTCCTGGTGCTGATCGTGCTGTTGGCCTCGGCACAACTATGGTACCGGGCTGTGCCTTGAACTCTTTGTTTCTAATTCCTGTCTCCAGGGGATTTGGCAAGGCAGCTTGCCTAATGAGACAAAAATAAGCACCCTATTCTTTGATTCGGGCAAGACCTGGAAATGTGCATCCTAAAGGCTCAGGAACCACCCTGGAAGAGGAATGCTGCATAACCAGATTTCTCCATCTCCGAGGTGTATGTACAAAGGAGGCGTCTGCTTTGAATCACAGCATTCAGAAGGATAAAGAGTTTCTCAGTCCTTAGTAGAATCTGAGGTTGCCTGCAGTGGGTTAATATGGTAACTACCAAAAAAAATTCGGTATTTCAAGTGCCAAGACACTTTCAAATATGCTAGAAGGTCCTGCCTGCAGCTCATCTGGGTGCCACAACTAGATGTGCTAAGTACTGGTATTTTTATTCTGTGAGGCTGGGTTTAATGCTTGTAATCTATTTTACCTGAAAAGCTTTCTGCATATGTGCATAGCTAGGCCTATGTGGAAAATCTGAAACAAGCTGAAAACAGATATGTTTGCTTTGTAAAAGGTTAAAGGGGTTGCTGTGGTGGGCTTGAACTAGGTTGCCAACATGAACCACTTAATTAACTGGAAGATGATTTTAGCAGCTGATACAGGCAGAGGATAGACTGATTGCTTGAAGCAGGGGGTGAAAACTAGCTGAGGTAATTGTTTGCAGCAGCAAAGGCTGCCGAGCCTGTACTGCTCAGCTGCAACATTCCTGAGCTGGAGGTGCAGAGTGCTGGACCTGGGTGTTTGGGCAACAGTAGGTGAACACTACTGTTCAGGTAGTAAGGTAAAACATAACTTTTTCATAGACTGCTGTCCCTAACCTGCTGTGGGTTGTTATTGAAAGCCTCTTGACCTTTTCCTCATTTTTATGAGTCTGCTGAACAGCAGCATTGTAAAACCAAAGTCAATAATCAAATCATGGTGAACATACTTGCCTGAGTGAGACACCACATTCTGCAGAAAGGAGTGATGGGGAGTGGTAAGAAATGCGAAGTGATAGTTCTTCCCCCAACCTCATATCTCACCCCAGTTGTGTTGGATTTTAATGGAGCAACAGCAAGGTTTTCTCCAGGATCTTTAGCTGCAACGCACTCATGGTGTCACCACATGAGTTGTTACAGGGACTGGATTAGTGTTCAAGTGTTGGTCTTCGATTGTTACAAAAGGCAGCAAAACAGCGGTGCTTTGGACAACCTATTTTCACTCAAGTATTTGCAAGGTCTCAACAACAGCATTGATTTAATATATCAATATGTGTAATGTAGCCAACGAACTTTCCTACAAGCGTGGGGTGACACAAATGATGTAATGATGTGACATTTTCTGAGTATCATAAATCAGAAACTTTTTTTCCATTTGAAATATGCCTTTGAGGAAGTGGAAATGCTATGATTTGTATGAGTTGGCACTTGGATGCTGGCAAATGCTGGCCTGGGATACAGTGGCGATCAGAATGATCTTAAGTGTCATTGAGGGTCTCTTACCTCTGGAGATTTGCCCACAAATCCAAGACCAGCTGGTGGTGAGGGACAGGTCCCCACAGTAGCACCGGTCTCCACACAGTGTGGGTTCAACTGAGCAGCAAGCCATCATAGGATGCTACCTAGACTAAACTTTGTACAGGTTCAAGAAACAACTGGGCTGATCTGTAGCAGAGAAAAGCTGCTGAGTGCATTTGAGTGCAAAGACACTACTTACAGCTCAGACACCCCGCAACACTGGACATTGTGCTTTCATCCTCTTGTGTAGGAATCTGCTGGTGGAGAAAAGATGGAACCTAAATATAGCTGTCCTTGTGTTCTCCACCCCACCAGAAAACCCATAGCAAACTCCCAAGACTGGCTGAGAAGAATGAGAGCCCACCTGCTACCAGACCAGCAGTTGGTACCTTGCACTGCTCTGGTGTAGCCAGCGCAGGATGACTCAAACAGCTGGAGCAGCAATACAAGTCATAGAATCATAGAAGGGACCTTTAGGGGTCATCTAGCCCAGCCCCCCCTGCAACTAGAACAGGTTGCTCTGAGCCCTGTCCAACCTGGCCTTGAACATTCCAGGGGTGGGGCATCTACCACCTCTCTGGGCAACCTGTTCAGTGTTTTACCACACTCATAGTGCCGAGTTTCAGCATCCATGCAGGGACAGGAATGACTGTCACACATCGATACAATGCACAGTCGATTCGATTTATTGCACTGCTTGCGTGGTTATATACATTTTTCATATCTGCACACGCGATCACGCTTATTTGAATAGGCTACAGACATAAATCACGCGCTGTTCATGCACCCCATATTCTCTTATGATTGGTAACTATGCACTAACGCTAATAGCAACAGACCGCCTCCACGTGCTTGAACACATCTTGTTTTTGCTAACCCACATCATGTGCACTATCAGAACTTTCTCAATTGTTATTCTTAGCTGTCCTTTCCAGCGGCCTGTCCAGCTATGCTAACTGTTTTGCTTAAGCGGCCTAGTCAAGCTAACTCTCAAACTACATTGACCCCAACATCATAGTGAAAAATTTCTTCCTTATATCTAGTCTAAATTTACCCTCCCTTAGTTTAAAACCATCACTCCTTCTGCTGTCACAACAGGCCCTGCAAAAAAGATTTTCCCCATCTTTCCTATAGGCCTCCTTTAAGTACTTGAAGGTTGCAATAAGGTTTCCAGAGAGCCTTCTCTTCTCCAGGCTGAACAGCCCCAGCTCTCTCAGCCTTTCCTCACTGGAGAGGTGCTCCAGCCCCCTGACCATTTTTGTGGGCCTCCTCTGGACTCACTGCAACAGATCCATGTCCTTCTTGTGCGGAGGGCTCCCCCTTCCCAGGAGGAGCTGGGAGCCTCAACTTTGTTTCCCCTACCTCAGAGAGTAAAACTGGCCGTGTTACCTCTCTTCAGCCTGTTTTCTCTCCTTTCAGGGTGCCATTTGCACGTGGCCTTCATTAAGGCCATGGCTGTGGCCATGTCATGAGGCCACATGTCTCTGCTGTTTGTGCAAGTGTGCTGGGTTTGACACCACTCCTTTCTGCTACACTGGGTGTGAAGCAACATGCCCTTCTGAAATAAGCCTCCCTGTTCATCAAAACCAGCCTTCAAAAACGTCTGAACCAGCCTCCTGAGCACACTGATGTGGGGACGCCACGAATGATAGTGACATCAAGAGGCAGGGCTGCAGCGAAGCTTTTTTTGGGTGAAGATCAGAGGCAGATGCTCCCAGCTAAATACCAGTTTCCACTGGAGGCTGAGAGGAACTCAAAGGCATCCCTGGGCTATTGCCATGTGCAGTGCTAGTGCCAGAGGCACATGGCTTTTGGCTCTTCTCTGGATAAGCCAATTTATACCATGCTCGCCTTCTCTCCCACTTTCATTTGCAGGTCTTTGGGGGCCTTGTCTGGATCCTGGTGGCATCCTCGAAGGTCCCATTTCCCATGCTGCAAGGCTGGGTCATGTTTGTCTCTGTGTTCTGCTTCATCATGTCCACCACTCTCCTGTGCCTCTATGTCTGTGGGGCACATGGGGGCAGCAGCTCCTGGGTCACCTTGGTAAGTGGATGTGACAAACCTCAAGGCCCCTCCCCTCACTGGTATCACTGGTAGACAATTGTCTCCTTTGCTGCACTCCAAATCACACGCTGGGGCTTGCTTGTGTGGGTTCCTTTTCTTTCCCCTTCACAGTGTGCTCCCTCCTTGGAAATGATTGTGCGATCCTTGTTTCTTAGGATGTTATCTGCCAGGAGACAGCAGCTCTGTTCTACCTCAGCGCTTCTGTGTTGGAAGCCTTCTTCACCATTGGCATCAGCGAGTCGTCTGCTGACCCTGTGATCATGATCACCTACCAGGAGAACATCGCTGCTGTGGTGAGTGCCTGGCAAGCAGGGGAAGGAAAAGGAGGAGGTGACTGTGGAGTGGCCTCAAGGGAAAATCTTTACTTGCACCAACCATTCATGGAGGGAGAGATAAACTGGTCCCAGTCCCACTATGCATGAATGTGGGTGTCCTGGTGGACCACAAGTTAACCATGAGTCAGCAGTGTGCCCTGGCTGCCAAGAAGGCCAATGGGATCCTGGGATGCATCAAAAGGAGTGTGGCCAGCAGGTCGAGGGAAGTTCTCCTTCCCCTCTACTCAGCCCTAGTGAGGCCCCATCTAGAGTACTGTGTCCAGTTCTGGGCTCCCCACTTCAAGAAAGATGAGGAGCTACTAGAGAGAGTCCAATGGAGGGCTACGAGGATGATGAGGGGACTGGAGTATCTCTCCTATGAGGAAAGGCTGAGGGAGCTGGGATTGTTTAGCCCGAAGAAGAGAAGGCTGAGAGAGGACTTTATAAATGCTTATAAATATCTCAAGGGTGGGTGTCAGGAGGATGGGGCCTCTCTTTTCAACTCTTTTCAGTGGTACCCGGTCAATGGGCACAAACTGAAGCACAGGAAGTTCCATCTGAACCTGAGGAAGAACTTCCCTCTGAGGGTGATGGAGCCCTCGAACAGGCTGCCCAGGGAGGTTGTGGAGTCTCCTTCTGTGGAGATATTCAGGACCTGCCTGGACAAGGTCCTGTGCAGCCTGCTGTAGGAGACCCTGCTTCGGCAGGGGGGTTGGACTAGAGGACCCACAGAGGTCCCTTCTAACCCCGAACATTCTGTGATTCTATGATTCTGTCTCCAAACACGCAAGAGTCAATAGAAATACAATGCATCACAAAGTGTTTGCTCAGTGCAGGAACTCACGCCATATAATAAAAAGTTAACTGGCTGATGTGTTCTTCCGTTGTAGGTATTCGCATTCTTAGCTACCTTGATGTACGTGATCCACAAAGTGTACTCACTCCGGCGATGGAAATCATCCTAAGAGCCTCCTCTCACAAGTGTGTCTTGTGGTCACCCCATGAACACGAAAGCTGTTCAACGACTGCAGTTTCCAAGCTGGGTGTGGGTTTTGTTTTTCAATGTACATACTATAAACAAGCAGCTTTTTATATGGGACCACGGCAATGAAGACAAAGAGCCTGCCAGAGAAAGCTATATCCTGGCACAATCTGTTTCCCTTCAGCCTCTTCTGGGTTGGGTACAGTTTGATGCTGGAAACTGGGTCCCAAATAGAAAAATATCCAGCTTTAAAAAGAGTAATATAATTGGGTTCAAAGTGCTAAAATCTCCATGAACCACACCTTTATGCCTCCAGGGTTGTTATTGCTATCAGGGGAAGCCTGAACAACCAGCACTAAAGAGCATGAGTATGAAACCGTGTCATTTTAATTGCCGCCCATCCATGTAAGCCTGTTCCCCTCCCTAAACCTGCTGTGCCAAAAGAACATTTTCATGCAGTTTCTGGAAATGCCATCACTGATTTGTGATGAGAAACAGGGGCAATATTTAACTTGCCTCAGGGGAAATAGGAGTTATTGCAACGCCTGAAGGGTGTTGCTGAGTTACGAGGCACACACATAACACCAGGAATTACTGCTGTCATTAATCCCCCTACAAAATACAACTTAGAAGTTACGCAGTACACTGTAGGAGAATTATATGGATGATTAGAGTAACATCTTGAATAAGCAGAGGCAATCAACTCTTCTCTTTGGTGCATGGCTACCCTCAACATACACCAGCACTATGTCGCTAATAAAGATGGGTTTGCTGTAATTTTGCAAAGAGAGAACAGTCATTGTTGCTATTTCCCCTTTGCTGCACATGGGTACACAGCCCTGTGCACCCTCAGGAGCACTGCACTGTAACAGGGCAATACCTAGGGAGGAGGCACAGACTTGGGCATGAATGAAAGCGCTTTTCTAGCAAGGAGAGCCTGTGGAGCTCTGTAGCCAGGGCCAGGGCCTAAACCAACTCAGGTTAATCTCAGTGATGATGTTTATCTGAATGCCTAAATTACTCCGGTGTTAGCCTGAGGGAATGTTCTGGTTTTGGCTGGGACAGAGTTAATTTTCTTCACAGTAGCTAGTATGGGGCTATGTTTTAGATTTGTGTTGAAAACAGTGTTAATAATTCAGGGATGTTTTCGTTATTGCTGAGTAGTGCTTGCGGAGCATCAAGGCCTTTTCTGCCTCTCACACCACCCTGCCATTGAGCAGGCTGAGGGTGCACAAGAAGCTGGAGAGGCCACAGCCGGGACAGCCGACCCAAACTGACCAAAGGGACATTCCATACCATATGATGTCATGCTCAGCAATAAAAGCTGGGGGAAAGAAGGAAGAAGAGGGGACGTTTGGAGTCACAGCATTTGTCTTCCCAAGTAACTGTTATGCGTGATGGAACCCTGCTTTCCCAGAGCTGGCCGAACACCTGCCTGCTGGTGGGAACTAGCAAATGAATTCCTTGTTTTGCTTTGCTTGTACGTGCAGCTTTTTCTTTACCTATTAAACTGGCTTTATCTCCACCCATGATTTTTCTTACTTTTACCCTTCCTATTTTCTTCCCCATCCCACCAGAGAAAGTGAGCAAGTGGCTGTGGGGGGCTTAGTTGCCGGCTGGGGTTAAACCACAACAGTGAGTTAATTTAAACAGGGTTTAGACCCAAGAAGGGGTGGTTTCACATATTACATGTGCTTAATAAACAGAGGTACCAAATTAGCCCTTCCAGGTGGTGGTGCAAAAAAATGCTTCCATTTTGAGTCTGCAGTTGCTGCATAATAACAAGGACTGAAGAATGGAAGGGAAATAAAAATTGACTTAGAGGCACCTCTGTTGCTTCAGATTCAGAGGCGACTTCTGAGCTGTGACCAGGAGTTCAAGTTGAAAATTTTTAATTGCAATATGAGGAAAACATTTGATTTTTTTCTTGTTTTTTTCCTTACTGAAAACCAGCCTGACCTGTTTTGCTTATGTTAGTGTGACAGAAGCAAGCTGATAGCAACCGAGGTGGAAAAAGAAACCCCTTTTCAGAGGAGGGAGGGAACTCATAGCCACTTCAGACAATGGCAGTTGGTTCTGAAGATTTAATGTGTACCTGTTGAAACTGGTTTAAACATCACATCATCACGGGGTGTGTGTGTGTAAGTTACTGCCCAGATTTGCCCTGCTTTTATTCACACCTCTGAATTCAGCATTAAAACACAAAGACACCTTTCTGTTTGGATCTGTTTACAATAGGCAGGTATTTGGGGTCATACCCTGGACCCTGGGATGAGATATCTCTGTCCACCTTCTGCACCCAGATGTGGCCAGCACCTCTGTGCCAAGCAGTGCTGTCTGTCCTCTCACATCCATGTCCCTGTGCCTTGTGGCCATCACATTTGCAGCCTAGGTCTTGGCAGGGCTCCCATCTCTCCTCCCCAATTCTTTCTGCCTTGCTTTGCCCTTTGCTTCTCCCTTCTAAGCCACATACCACTTTACACCAGTCTGCACTAGTTCACTTTCTCGTCCCTTTCCTTCTGGCCCCACCTGGTTTGCTGAGATACCTCCCCCCCCCCAGCATTAGCATAACCTTGCCGTAAACCAGCACTGGAAAAAACCAGCCAGGGGCTGCTGGCACGGGAGTGCTCATCAGTCCCAGCGCAGCTGGGGAGACGGCTCGGGCAAGGTTGTGGACGTGGCATTGGGAGGGAGGCCCTGTGGCCCCAGTGTAATCTGGGCCGTGTCTTTGCCTGGGGGGGGCTGGGCAGAGCGAAGGGCCACCACAGGGTCAAGAGCATCCAAATAAACTGACACAAAGCAGTGCTGCACCTTTGCAATCCTCCCAGCGTGGCTGCAGCTTCAATCCCATGCAGCTGAACAGCTTGTAGGTGAACGAGCGTCCCTGCTTGGCACAGGGCTGCTGAGCCCCCAGCATAGGACAGAGACACAGCAAGGTGTGGCTTTACTGCACCAGGCTGTTGAATTGCACCTGTCAGGTGCCACGAGACTTGCAGCAATATGCATGTTCCCTGCATGGTGGAAAGAAGAGAAAAATAAAATGAAAAAACCACCCTGAGATCCCATTGCCCATCACTCCTATTGTCTCAGTATGGCCATGAAGACCTACATGCCCTGGAAGCTGGCCAGCCCAAGGCAGCTGCCTAGAAAAAGGCACACCTCAATGCTTTTGAAGGGAAAGATGCTGCCCAGAGGATCTCCCAGGACTTATGAACCATCTACCATATGTGCACCAGGTCTCGTCTCCACAGAGAGCCCTGAGGATAGCGTTGGCCTGAGAATTTGCTGTCATCCCACCGGAAACATTGGGCACGATGAACACTGCAGGCTTGATCCTTTTGCCATGGAGATACTTGTCTGGGGTTAATTGCATATGAGTGTGGCTCCCCAGAATGTGAGATGGCTGGCTCTGCTGGGTGCTGCTTGCACACCGTTGGCCCTGGCTGTTTGTTGACCACAAGGCACCTGCAGTTCTTGCCTCCAGAGCTGCTCCCAGTCTGGCCCGATACATGGGGCTGCTCCATCCCAGGCACTGTGTTTGCTCAGTAATTTCCAAATCCCCCCAGACTGGCACTTCGTCTCCAACAGCATCCTCCTCATGCCATTTCATTCATCCTCCCCATCCCTGGGATCCCTTGCAGATGTAACTAGATGGAGCAGCCCATTTAAAAAGCCACAAATCAGCCCTTTTTTTCAGAGCACTTACAAATCCCATCACACTGTTAAAAACAGTGGGCCTTTTGCATCCCTGCAGCCACCACCAGCTTTCAACTGCCAGTGTAACTGGAGTTTCATCTCTGCTCTTCTCCTCCAGCTTCCTCAGCAAATCAAGGAGGTCTGCAGGCCTCTACTCTAGAGAGCAGGCAAATAGACTTTAGTTAAAACAAACAATCCACTTCAAGGCAGGAAAAACCTCAGCTCCTGTGATAAAAAACAATGCTACAAACATATCATTCATTAAACATGCCCAGATTGTAATCTTGGTTGCTCTTGCTTAATTAAATAGCTTCTTAACCGTAATGTTAGCTGTTCCTTAAATATTTGTATATTGGATACCTTGCCTCCAGTGATGCAATGAGTTAGAAGCACTTCCATCTTCTCCTGAATTGTAGGAGAAGAATTTTCTTTGTCTGAAAGCAAAGAAACTTCACAGAAAATTATGGCAGCTCCATGAAAAATGCAAGAGTTCCTTACGTTTGTCATTTTACTGTCAGCTTTATCTGCGAGTGATGAGCAAACTGTATGCTGGGTAAAACTAATACAAGCATCTATATTAACATGAACAAACTTGTGAAAACAGGAAACCCACAAAAGATGACTTCTATGGAGAGATCAAAGCTCCATGTGGGTCTGTGGCAGAGTCTGATTCACGGCCTGCTCAGTCTGCCTCCCCCTCTCCTGACCCACCTATGGTCCGTTCCCCACCTCTAATCTTCACACCAAGGCCATGGTCTCCTCCAGCTCTTCAGTCTCCCTTATGCTAACAGAATCAAGCATTGAAACCCCATTTGCTTTGAGGACAGGGATGGAAATGCCTTATTCCTGACTGAAACATAAGTTAGTGTTCTGTGGGTCCAAGAAGAGCCCTAAACCTCCTCCAGAGAGCACAGGCAAGGCAGAGAAGTCCTGAAGACCCTCATGGGAGTAGACACAAGTGTAGCTACTGTGCAGACCTTGGGGAAAGAGGGAGATCAGGTTACCACATGACTTCCTTTAAGTTCTGAAAATGCAAATGACATTCACCCTACCACTTTCTTACCTTGCAGCTCCTCATTTCCACTAGCACACAAAGTGGACCTGCAAGGCTTGTGTTGATTCTCTTGCAGGCACCAGCTAGAAGTCAGTCAGACACTTCCTGGTGCTTTGGCTGATGGAGAAAAGATCCACTGAGAACCATGTATTGTTTTACCCTGCACTAGCAGTGAGAACAGAAATTACTGAGTGACCACCAAGGGAGATGTCTGTTTGCAGATTTCTACCCAC